TACCTGGTAAACTTTCACTTCGTGCTGCCAACCAAACCAACATACAGACGTATGGCGAACAGTCAATGATTTTAAACTTAGGATTACGCCGACGTTTCACATGGATCTTCATAGTAGCTGACGTACGTCACGCTATACTAGGTGCAGACTTCCTAAGTCACTTCAATCTGTTGGTTGATATCAGCAAGAAAAAACTGGTTGACAATTGCACCCAACTCAAGATCCACGGTATTACATGTGACTACTCTGTTCATAGCATCTGTATAGAAAAGCCGGAGAGTGAAATGTTCTCTGCTTTATTGCAACGATTTCCTAAAATCCTTAAACCATCATACAACGTCGAAGATATATCTCATACAGTTACGCATAAGATCATCACAACAGGACAACCTGTGAAGGCACGTCCACGACGGTTACCACCCGATAAACTAGCAGCAGCTAAGTCGGAATTCGAACATATGATGCAGCTAGGTATCATACGACCATCTAACAGTCCATGGTCTTCACCTTTGCATATGGTACCTAAAACTAATCATGACTGGCGACCATGTGGAGATTATCGCGCTTTGAATAACGCTACGGTCCCAGACCGTTATCCTATACCTCATCTCCACGACTTCTCCTTGACCTTACATGGAAAGACCATTTTTACTAAAGTTGACTTGGTCAGGGCATATCATCAAATACCAGTCGCTCCAGAAGACATTGCAAAAACAGCAATTATCACGCCTTTTGGATTATTCGAATTCTTGAGAATGCCTTTCGGACTAAAGAATGCTGCTCAAACATTTCAGCGTTTTATGGACCAAGTTACCCAAGGTCTTGATTTCGTCTTTGTATATATCGACGATGTCTTAATTGCCAGCTCATCGATGGAAGAACATATGCAACACTTAAGCCTGTTATTTCAAAGGTTTGAACAATTTGGAGTTGTTATCAATCCAAAGAAATGTATTTTTGGTTCCCCTTCCATTGAATTCTTAGGACATCGAATAACTGCCGAAGGCATCAGACCTACCGAAGATAAGATAAAAACTATTAAGAACTTTCCCGAACCTGATTCCTTAAAGAAACTTAGACGTTTTCTCGGGATGTTCAACTTCTACCGACGTTTTATTCCATCATGTGCCTCCATAGTTCAGCCACTGACCGACCTACTTAGATGCAATTCGAAGAAATTTCAGTGGTCTGAAGAGGCAAAAGCAGCATTTAATAATGCAAAAGATGCCTTATCCAACGTTGTAATGTTATCTCATATCAACCCAGAAGCTTCACTCATTTTATGTACAGATGCATCGCAGGTAGCAGTGGGAGCAGTTTTACAACAAAAGTTCAATAATGACATCACTCCACTTGCTTTCTTCTCCAAGAAATTGGAACCTGCGCAAACTCGTTACAGCACTTTTGGCAGAGAACTGTTAGCCATCTACCTAGCAGTGAAACATTTCAGCTTCTTACTACAAGGTCGACATTTTACTATCTTAACCGACCATAAGCCTCTTTGTTATGCTTTCACCACTTCGTTGGACAGACACTCTCCGAGAGAAGCCAGACAACTGGATTACATCTCACAATTCTCAACAGACATCCAGTTCATCAAAGGAGATTCCAATATCGTAGCCGATTCCTTGTCTCGATGTGACGTTAATCACCTATCTTCGATAGATATTAGCTTAGACAATATTGCCAAGCTGCAGAAAAATGACGCCGAACTCCATACTTGTAGACGAAACTCCTCCCTACAGTTGCAGGATGTACCTATTCCCCTGTCTGATACAACTATCGTCTGCGACGTTTCAACGGGCGTTCATAGACCTTTTGTTCCACTAAGTTGTCGAAAACCTTTGTTTGAACATCTACATTCATTGTCTCATCCTGGAGTGCGTGCTACGGTCAAGTTAATCAGCGAGCGTTTTGTTTGGCCCAAGATGAACTCCGATATTCGGAAATGGGCCCGACAATGCTTGCAATGTCAAAGATCCAAGGTACATCATCATACCGTCACACCTCCAAAACAGTTCAATTTACCGGATAAACGATTTCAACACGTTCATATAGATATTATTGGACCATTACCGCCATCCAGAGGATTTACTCATATACTTACTGCGATTGATCGATTTACCCGATGGGCTATTGCTTGTCCACTCAACGATATATCTGCAGAAAATATCGCTTTGGTTTTCTTAGATCGCTGGGTGTCAAACTACGGAGTACCCACAACTATTACAACAGACCGAGGAGCTCAATTTCAATCAACTCTGTTTCGAGAGTTTACGAGACTCCTTGGAGTGAACCATATCTCCACTACAGCTTATCATCCTGCAGCGAATGGTCTGGTGGAACGTTTCCATCGACAACTGAAAAGCTCGCTTATGGCACAAGCTGACTCATCTAAGTGGAGTGAACACCTACCATTAGTTCTTCTCAGTATCCGATCAACTGTAAAAGAAGATTTGGGATGTACACCAGCTCAACTTGTGTATGGTACTACCCTCACATTGCCTGGTCAGTTAGTTCCGTCTAATGATTCAACTGAAGTAAATATCTCCGACTTCACCAACCGCCTTACCCAGCAAATGCTCCAGCTTCGACCAGTAGCCCCTCGCCAATCACTTCAGTTTTTTTTTTTTTTTTTTTTTTTTTTTTTTTTTTTTTTTTTTTTTTTTTTTTTTTTTTTTTTTTTTTTTTTTTTTTTTTTTTTTTTTTTTTTTCCTTTTCTAGTACTTAAACGCACCGATAAATACTTCACGCTGAACAAACATGGTAAACCGGAGACTGTTTCTATCGATCGTCTTAAACCAGAGTACACCGACAGCGAATATGAAACACTAGCAACGCCGACACCAATGAACAATCAGAAAGTCAATTCAACTCCAACTCTCCCTCTCTTCAATCTTCCCCCTGTACAGACACGCAGTGGACGGCAGATCTGTAAACGTGCCCGCTATGTTCATTTTATTGACTGACATAAACGTTAACCTCATTTAGACATTCTTTTCATTACTATTGTTGTCGAGATTCATTTCATTATAATCATAAATATTTATTAGTATTATTGTTTGCTGTTCGTCAACTGTACTGCAAGCACACGCATTCACCAAGTATATGTATATATCTATTTATATATGAATTTCACAAATGTTAACGAACATGTCATGGTTTATTATGTACATAAATTTTTTATTTAAAATTACAACAAGTTTTGATTTTTTTTAAATTCCTGTATGTGCTTGTATGTGCTTAACTTTATACGACACGGATGCATGCCATATATCCTGATCTAACTTTGTATCCTTATTGTTGTTATTGTTATTTTTTGTTATCCTTATTGTTGGCATTGTCCCTTATTTATATTGCTTATATTCATGTAATCGTCCACGAGGACAGTACTGATGGTCCTCCGGACCTCTAAGAGGGGGAGCCCTGTGGAGTCCTCAAAAATAAACTTATCCAAATTTTAGTACTATGTTAATAATGAACATATTGTACACCACTTTGTTTTAACCATAAACTCTGTACTTTGGACTTTACCTCGGGTTTTGAATAAATATATAGTTCTGCCTTCGACTCTCCGTTTTCTCCACCATCCCAACTGCCGTCGATCAATTTTAATCACCTGCTTTCTATCTCAAATTTTTGCAGGGGCACCGTAGTTCTTCCTACGTACTTTGGTCGACCTCCGGCAACGTCAACATTGGAGAACTAGTACTGGAGCAGTCTTCCCGCAGCACCTGGAGTCTATAACGTTTATTGTGGACTTTGGATCCTTGTAAACCCAAGTAACCAAACTTTAATACATTCTTCCCGTAACTAAACTGATTTAGTACTTTATCTTCTATTGGAATTTGCGTAACTGAGCTAACCGAGTGAAAGGTCCACCACACCTCTCTGAGTTTTGGTTGGATTCGTGTAATTCCGTCATCTCGAAATACTAATATTACAAGTGCAATAAATTACTACAGATACTCATGGATTATTTTATCAAGATGTTGTCCGCTCACTGAAACCACGTAGCCAGGGTTTATCTATTATCCTAGTAATTACGAAATCAGTTCTAAGCAAACGCTTAACACTCTGCTACACAGACTATAACTTAGTTGCTGTAATACTAGCTACTTCTATACTTTATACTTCTTAAAGTAAACGCTTTTCACTAGGCGTTTGTAACAAATACTTGTGTACATGTATGCATATATGAAGGTGATGCTGCCAAGAATGTCCTCGGGTATCGATGTATCTGGTGACCTAATCGGAAGTGCTTGTCATGAAAACTATTAATGTGCAGCACATTGTGTGGCTGGGACGGGCTAGAGGCGACGCAGTGTTGCAACTACAGCTATTGCTAAAAAGACCTCAGAGCATAACATCAAAAAGGAGGGAGGCTGGCGTTTGCTGATCAGCAGATATGGTAGTGGTCACAAATGTGATACGCGCGCGCTGTTTGAAAGGGAGTGCTTTTTTCACGTATTTCGCGTTTTTGACAAATCGCTGTTTTGTTTTGTTATTCACTTCAAGAACATTTAAAAAAAACTTTAACCTGACTTTTGTCTGTTAGGTTTTGATTTTAACCACTTATATAGTCTGTATTGGGTAAATTGTCTTGGCTGTTTCCAGTAGAAGTTCATTATGTCAAAAGTACCACATAAATGTAATAGGGCGGAGTGTTACTTTTTGGTAGATGATGGAATACAGTGTAATAACTGTGAAAAGTGGTATCATAAGATGTGTACTGGATTACGTCCAGCTGCATACAAACGTTGTACTGCTCCAACATCCCACTGGATGTGCAGAATGTGTTGCTCCCAAAGATGACCTTAATAAGGGAGGCTCACGAACTGCTGTCTAAAGCCATGGAACTTCCTGATGATAGCGTGGCTAGTAAGAGTGACACGGACTGCCCGTCTGAAGATGACGCAGTAAGTGCCATCATGAATGTTATCACACCGGCGGTTACTATCCCAGTTACCCCGGAAGTAAAACCTACTAGGCGTTCGAAGCGTCTTAGTAAGCGAAAAGGTAACAAAACGGAAGCTGTAAACAGCATCTCAGAACCAGAGAACACCGTAAGCGAAGTTCACCATGAAGGTGGTGCAGACACTGATCTTGATTGTACCATCAAAAACTGCAGCAGCCCTGAGAAGCAACTGCAGGCAGATGATAAATGGGTAACAAAAATAAGCAGTCGGAAGAAATATAGTAATATTGATGGTAGGCAAACGTCTGTCACCTGTAGCCAGGCTGCATCAATAGTGGTGAGAAAGGACGTAGCCACTGCTAAATACGACAAGCTCTCCTTAGACTCTAACATAATTGTTGGAAATTTGGAAGAGTCCAAAGAATCTGATCCCGTGAAAAGGCACGATCACGACCTTAAATTAGTGAGTAGTATTATAAGGAAGATGCTCCCAGCGAATTTCCCTGGAGTATCGATTAAAAAGCTGATTAGAATAGGCAAAAGAGATGATGAATGTTCTAATCAGCGTAGGTTGCTTAAAGTAGTCTTAGGTTCTCCTGATGAACGGAATCATCTACTGGCTAATGTACACAACCTTGCCGGGTCAGGAATTTCAGCCAGACCTGATTTATCTCTTGAAGACAGACTTAAACGAAAAGAAGTTTTGTCCCAGCTAGAAACAAGACGTAAAAATGGTGAGACTAACCTTAAACTGGTGGGTTTTCAAATAGTCAGGTCTTGGAAACGTATGCTTCCAAGACCTGTGTGGATAAGCCAGACCGCATAGGAAGCCTGAAGGTAGTGTACACTAATATACGTAGTATCGGGAACAAATTTCACGAGCTAGGTGTATTAGTAGAAGACCTTAGCCCAGGTATTGTGGCCATTACTGAAACATGGCTGGTTTCGGGATTAGATGACACACCTGAGCTATGCGGATTTAGTTGCTTGCGCAGCGACAGAGTTAAGGGTCGTAGAGGTGGCGGGGTTGCTCTGTACATCAACAACTCCCTACATGTTCGTTCCGTGAAATCTGAAGCTCATGACAGTGGGACAGGTGAGGTAATTAGCTGTGAAGTAAGCTTTGCAACCGGCACTCTACTCATTGGAGTTCTGTATAGAAGTCCCTATTGTCAGTGTGATGACTTCATTTTAGATCACCTCAAACAATGGAGTAAACACAGTAGCTGTCTTATTCTAGGTGATTTTAATGCACCTCATATAGACTGGGTAGCTGTCACATCTCCAGGATCCGCTGATAAGTTTGACAGCCGGTTACTCTTGACAACCATGGAAAATGCCCTGACACAACATGTCTTAGGTAGTACAAGATTCGGTTCTACCCAAGGATCTTCCTTGCTGGACTTAGTGCTTACTCATGACAACGACGACGTGGATGGTCTAGTTATTCATCCACCTCTAGCAAACAGTGATCATGGGGTGTTAGATTTTAACTTAAGGGCTGGCAATTTAGTCAGTTTTCAACCCAAATCCCGGCCTAGTGTTTGGCATGCTGACATAGTGGCTATAAAGGAGCGTGCTTCAACTGCCGACTGGTCAGTCAACATTGTCTCATCCATTGAAGATGAATGGGATAGATTTAAGAATACACTTGAGAGGGTTACCACTGATCTCATCCCCTGGAGGGTTCCTAAAAGGCCAACAAATCGGCCACCATGGATAAATAGACAAGCTATAACACTCCTGAGACGGAGAAAAAGGTTCTGGAATCTCTTTGTTTCTACTGGGCTACAGCAGTTCCGGCTGAAATACTGTGAAACCAGAAACCAGTGTAAAACTTTGATCCACCAGTCAAGGATAGCTTACGAAACCCAGTTAGTTAAAAGTTCACCAGGCTGCCCAAAAAGACTCTTCTCATATATCAAGAGAAGAACACGTAAGAGTGATGCTATCCCACCTCTTATGCTTGAAGATGACCAGACAAACATGGCTGAGGATAACTTGACTAAGGCTGAGGCTTTGTCCAAGCACTTTAGTCAAGTATTCTCTGATAATATTGATACCAGCTTTGTAAATTTTCCAGAAGGTAACTTGAAAATGGCACCCTTATACATTGGAAAGGATACTGTCCTAAAGTGGCTTCTAAGGCTCAATCCTGGTAAGTCCAGTGGCCCTGATGAACTCCACCCACGTATATTAACAGCATTGGCTGAAAGCATAGCCGAGCCATTGTCGGTAATCTTCAATATGTCTCTGGACCAGTCTAAATGTCCAAGAGACTGGAAAGATGCCATCATTAGTCCGGTCTTCAAAACCGGATCTAGAAACTTAGTTCAGAACTATCGTCCTGTTAGTTTGACCAGTATTGTTGTTAAACTACTAGAAAGAATAATTCGTGATGCTATCATTCAGTTCATTGAAGGGAACAAACTTTTCGCTGTGGAACAGCACGGTTTTAGAGCAGGTCATTCTTGCTTGACCAACCTTCTTTTGGCCAGAGAAAGTTGGGCAAGCTCAGCTGATGCTAATATACCGGTGGATGCCATATTCATAGACCTTAGCAAGGCGTTTGACAGGGTTTCTCATTCAGGTCTTCTAGTAAAGTTAGGTAGTCTGGGAATCAATAAAGTGGTTACCGACTGGATTCAAGACTTTCTAAAGGACAGAAGACAAAGAGTACGAGTTAACGGGGTTTTATCAACATGGGAATCGGTTAAGAGTGGCGTTCCTCAGGGTACAATTCTAGGCCCACTTCTTTTCCTGATTTATGTTAATGAGATTCCATCGGTAGTTAAGTCATCCTGCTTACTGTTTGCTGATGACATCAAGATATGGAGGGCTTTGCACGATGACAGTGATCAACTTGCTTTGCAGGAAGATTTAAACTTGTTAAGTGATTGGTGTAAGCACTGGGCCTTGGAGATTAACTTAAGCAAGAGTGTAGTTATGCATGTATCCCATAGTCACGTGCACAATTACTCAATGAATGGCATTACTCTCCCAGTGGTCACTGAGTACAAGGACTTGGGAGTGGTTGTGCAGCATGACTTGAAAACAGCAACAAACTGTAGAACTGCAGCCACTAAGGGTTTTCGAATGTTATGGGCCATACGCAAGGCTTTTGCGAACTTTGACGCTGATATATTTCGTATATTATATCCGACTTATATCAGACCTCATTTGGAATATGGGATCCAGGCAGCGAGCCCGTGTTTCAAATACGAAATAGACTTATTAGAAAGGGTGCAAAGAGTAGGAACTAAGCTAATAAAGGGTTTCTCAACCCTGTCATATGAGGAGAGGTTAAGTCGACTGGGTTTATTTCCACTGTCATACAGACGACTTAGGGGTGACCTAATACTAGCATACCGTATCCTAAGAAATGATTTTGGAGCTAATTTATCTAAATTATTTCTTCCTTCTAGCACCAACCAATTGCGAGGACATCACCTCAAGGTTCAAAAACCACGGTCGAATCGTCTGCGTCTGGAAATCCGTTTTTCGCATCGAATTGTGAACCATTGGAACTCCCTACCGGAACACGTCGTATCAGCGCCATCCGTTGATTCATTCAAGGCGAGATTGGACCTCCTGTGTGCAATAAATCGAAAGGATTAACACAGGCATATGGCCTACTATCCTAAATAAATTGTAAACTGTAAACTGCGATCCGTGGGACAGCGACATGCATTTTTTGACAGCTCTAGAATTAAACATAAGCCTTGAACCTCAACAGAAAAATTTTTTAATAAAAAAATGATAAATGTTGTACAGATCAAAATTATAAATTATAAAAATGCTTTTGCTCCTCCCATCTACAAGCCTGTTTAGCTTCTCGTCAAGATGCTACCCATTGGGCCCTACAGAAATTCGTCAGACATCTCACAGGTCAGTTTGTCCTAAGACTTCTAATTTTTGTGATCTTTGAATTCGCTCCTCACTTAAATATCACTTTGCTAACTCCCGATAATCTTTTATTTACGCACAATTACACTCTACTTTATGTTAATCAAGATAATAATGGCCTAGGTTGTTATAACAACGACGGTTCTTAAAATTAAAACCGTTCTTATTAGTTGCTGATATTCTGAACTTAAAACTTGAGATTGTTTGCCGACCTCAACGTAAGCTAGATCTTTGTTTGAGAAATAAATACTTCTACCTCTGCGGCCACTGACGTAAGTTGTTATTTTTTCAATTTTCCCTAGGTCCTAGCAATCGGCGCCTGTATATTGCTGATTATTCTTGTCAGCAGCACATGCGACATCAAGAATTATTCGTCATACCTTCTGAATTTATACCCACAAAGACAGTCATGATGATTAACTGATGAGAGAGACGTTACATAATTTTCACACATACAATTTGTTATTTTAGGTGTATCTACTGGGTGCAATATTCAAAATTTCATACAAATGGTGGATACGGCAGGTCGTTGTCTCTAGAAATTCTTCTCGATCTGGGGTCTTCTGTTCCAAAACATGGAATTTTTCAATGAAACAAAAGACGGGAAAAATTCTTATGACCTTGCTTCTTCGTGTATTTGTACATGAGTAAACCAGTTTGCAGGCATCATCAGTATGTTAAATAGAATGTACATGGAGAAAGTATATTTACGAATTGCTCAATTACACAAGATATATAAAACAGGGTAATGGAATAATATAAAAAGGTCACTTTACATGGGTTGAAGCAATGCATACAGTATAATCTTGAGCATCATTATTGTTCAAATTTAGCCAAAATGAGCGCAATACTTGAACGATGCGCTACAATTAATGGATATGGCAGGTTATTCGTAAAATAGTGAAAACGGTTTGCAAAGCGTTAGTTAGCTTACGGATAACGTCTGTAAAAATATTATCTACTGCTCACCACCGCAGTTCGCGTTCAGTCAGACGTGTAAAGAAGTGTCATAACATAAAAACAGATAGCCACGGGTAAACTGTCCAGTTCATGCACAGGAACCAGAATAATGGTTAAATAATCCGTGCAAAACGATAAATGGTTCATGCTGGAGCTGAATAACACTGTCATATTAGCCAGTGGGATCTAAAACGCAATCGTCAGCATATTTTTATTACTTCTTAAATCTCCAGATTTCTTGGCGCTCCAAAAATATAAACTTGGATTTGTCAGGAAAATGAAAACATGGATAGATATCCAACTGCATGCTAAGGCACATTCAGCATTAGGATTTAGTCAACTCCATTTCGTATGGGATTTTATTGCTCTACAATTTTGAAATATCCCGAAAGCATCGCTGTGATGATGGGAAGAAGAGGTATGCTACAGAGGCAATGTTTCGCGGATTCCTACCGACACCAGAAACATTCTAGATACTGAGAAGGTCTAAGAACTAGAATTGCACCAGCAGGAATTTTGCTTTTATATAGTCCCTCGTCTGTATGGATAAAATATCATTTTTTGGAAATGTAGACTGTAGCTGGAGAAACATAAGCGGCAATAGAGGTGGCTACTTACTTTACATTTCCTGAGGCTTTAAAGGAATTTCACCACCCTCGGCTACCTACTTGTCTAAAGTCATTCAGTATAAGTACCACTTTACATGAGCTACTTGCAGCTTTAAAGAATGCCACTTTGAAATCGACTTCGTTTCTACGAGTTCTTTGCAAATTCTGGATGAACGCTGGTGCACTCCCGGCAGACAGAGTGCTTCTACTCGCAAGATTAAACAGTGTTTATGTAGGACTTGCGAAGCCTCGTGGTTATAACGTCTGTGTGTGATGAAGTTTTCGACCTAATTTGGCAATAGCAAGCTCATTCGAACCACTGGCAGTAGGAGGCATGCCATAAGCGGGACGATTCGCTAGGCAGATGACACGGCAGTTACCAACCTGAAATATCTCCTGGATCGCTTGGAAAATTACTTCGAGAGGCATTTCAGCTTGATGACAGTGTCGTCATGCAATATCACTAGCCGCAGTACTCCTCGATCTGTCACTGCTGACCCACCAAACAAAACAGTGTTACGGAAGGGACTTCTATTTATTTTTATTTTTTATCTTTTTATTTTTGATTTACAGCTTGATTCCACACCGTATTTTTGGTACAGGTATGGAATTTTCAGCATGGATATCGGTAGCCCAAATTTTGCAGGCCGACCATAGATATCAGGTGTGCGCCGGCGTGGGCTCGAACTCCGGACCATGTGCATGGTCGGTGAGAGTCCTAATCACTGTGCCACCGACGCGCTACGGGGCAACAGACACAAACAATCCACTCCCCAGCTATTCTAGGAGAGGGTGACGATATTCTCTTCAGGACTTTGTGTTAGTGCTGAAACCCAGTAGTTTTAATCCAAATGCAAGAAATCCATCTCTGTGCCCTACAGTATAACTGACGAAACTCTCTAGTGAAACACACAGTCGTAAAACGTTTTGAACACGGAAAGACGATGCTGATTCTTGGTTAAATCTACGTGTGGTTTTTTCAGTAATAATAACATCAAAAACCCAAGGA